ATTGTTTATTGGAGGGACACCAACTTTTAAACTGTCCATTCGCTTATACTTTGTTAAACCTCAGCAACTTCTTCTTTACAGTGCTCCGTCACTTGTCAGGTCCCACTTAATTAATTTAGAAAAGTCATCGACAAAGTCTATATTTCTAACTAGAGCATTTATTCTAATACTAACGTCCTCTGAAGAATACTATTTTGAAGAGCTTCACTACAATCATGGTTTCAGGTGAATTTCATCACTGATGTCTTTGCTTTGAGGCTTGATCTACTCAGGTTCAAAGTAATTTACTTAGATCCGGAGTTTTAGTTAGAATCCAGAGCTCCAGCATTCTAGATTTCAACGAAGGACTTGTTTTGTTATACATGTTACTGGTTTCTTAAGCGTAGCATCTTGTATAGATATGTGGTATTGGATATACACTCCGACCACCATATTTTGAGTTTAAATAGATGTGTTTTTAACGTTTCGCATCCGTAGAACAATATTGACTTGAATTTTCGCAGCTTAGTACAGGTACTTATTTAGACTTCCATACATTGTTTAAATGCCCGAATATTGACTTGGATTTACTCAGTCGAGTCTAGTCGAGTACCAATTTTATTCGTGATGATGCTGCCCACATATGTAAATGATTTTACGTGCTTAACTGCGTCATTACTAATTCTGATGAATCCGAGATTCGGAATATTGCAGCCACTACACATTACTTTTATTTTTTCAAGACTTATGTACATACTGGCATTGGATACATAGAAACTAACTGTGTTCTGTAACTCAGAGCTTATTAGACTTAGGAGGCAGACATCTTCTGCGTACTCAACATCGCCAAGTTTGCTAAAAGCTGTCCATTGTATTTAGGTGCTATCGCTGCGTGTAGAACGCATGATTCTCCAATATAAAGAGTAATACAGGACTAGGCGATTAAAGTGTTACCTATTCAAGCGACCATATCTTTTTGTGTGAAATTATTTTTTATTCATTCAAATTACAACAATTTGTGAAAATAATGAAAATTTCGATGTGGTCACCTTCAAACGGTTACAAAATGAGTTGAATGCTTCACGAATGTGAGCCCATTTCTAAGCAATGGATTTTTTCATCGCATCCATACTGGCATATTTTTTATTCCTTCTTTCCAAAAAAGCACATATGGAATAGTCCATCGGATTTGCATCTGGCGAATTCGAAAGCAATTGTATGGACGAAATGAAGGGTGAAACATTATTTATTATTCATTCTTGGTTCACATAAGCTTTATTAGACAGTGCGTACCCACGGTTCTAAAGCAACTTCCAAAACATTTTCCCGATTGTAAGTCGCATTGGCATTAAAAACAGACTCGATAAAAACTATGGGAAAAGTTACTTCAGGTGACTATTCGTAGCCTCAAATTTTCGGCAGTGCGTTCAGTTAAGAAAACACGATCATTTTCGAGTTTATGGACTTGTGCAAGCGTAACAACTCCTTTGCTCCTTTGTGTCCAACTTTTTGTTGCTTTGGTGTGAGATCTTGTACCTTTTGGAACTTGTAAAACTTTACCTTGAACTCTGTTTGGAATATGCATCGGATGTTTCGCTAGGATATTTATAGTTCTTAGCCATTTGATTACCACTTCGACGTGGATTTGGTTTAAGTCAAGCATTCACTTTCCGAACTATTTCAGGTGATGTTACAGTTATTTTTTCGTCCGCCACCATAGCGTTTGGCGATGCTGCCTGTACTATTATAATGATTTATGGTGCGATACACAAACGATTTATTCACTTCGAGGTGTTTGAGTTTAAGATTAATAGCTAGTTGTGATTTTTTAGCCAAATATAACGCAATCACACTATTACTAGTAATTTGAATTCCTTTTCGAATTACTTTTGTTCTATAAAACTTAGACGCAAATACTTGTAGTAGCTTGAATGAACATCATGTAGTTGGCAATATCAGTTTGATATATATACCTGTAGAATATTGTAGCAATAAAAAATCTATAAAAAATATACACATGCGACGCTAACGCTTCGTCTTTTACACGAACAGTTTAGGCTATACTTGATGTCCTGTAAGAAACCAGTTGACTTTATGGAAAATGTGTTCGGTTATTTCGGCCGAAATAAATATAGGGCGAAACATAAGAACCTATTAATGTAACTAGGTGAAATCTTATATCAGAGGATACAAACAGCAAGTAATTGTATTGCATTCCTTTGTATACGAAATATTTGGTGTGCAAAATAAACATGGATCGGTTGTATCTTTGTTGTTTTGCGTTGTGTGTACTCCGTCGTATCTAATTAATTTTTATGCATTTACGACAATTAAATCAGCCTTGTGGTGTACAAAGTGCTTTAACTTGCACACTATTCAGTTTAAATTCTCTTAAATTGATACGCGGTTACCAAACCAATTATAACCACTTATAACATAAGGGTCGTATCTATCAGATCCCTTTTTCAGGATCAAGGAAGAAGATACATACTGTTACTTTAAGCAAATAAAAGCAGGTGACCCCATGGGAAGTTACCAGAATCTTCTTTCTATTTTATTATAAAACCGCTGATCCAAGTGAATGTAAGCAAAAGCACAAAAATTTTGGGTGGACTGTCGGTTGAGATTACAAAAATAAACATTAAAAATTGCTTTAAGTAATTTGGACATAAACAGAGCTTATTTTCATTCGCTTATTAAAATGTAAAACAAATTAGAATTGTCCATTATTTTTATGCTGTGTGAATTGCTATTATATTGGTAGCAAGTTATATGCGGCGTTTCATTATTGGGCCACGATTGTTTGTTTGTTCTTTAAATACTCAGATCATTTCAAATATTCAAATAATGTAACCGAAGAGAAAGAGTGTAAGTAACATATCATAACATTATCATTTTATATCAAAGCCTTTATAATTGGTATAAGTAAAATCAAAAATAGTTTTTTTACAAATATTTTATATATTTATTACGCTATTATATATTATAATTTTTTAATTATTTAATATATGGCAAAATTTATAAATGAATTTTACGACCTACAGTTTATAAAATGATCCGCCATTTTAAGAGAAAAACGTAACCAACTATTGTAGTACCTAATTTAAACTACGCGAATTAAAATTCATTCGCTTCTTGTTCTGGACCTTTTGAATTTGTTGTTGTCGTGCATGTGTTTGTTGTTTTCAAACTCTTTTACAAGCTTCTGGCGCAAGAAGAAAAATCAAAGTCTTACGTTTACGTTTAAAAATTTTTGCTTTTATCGCTTACGCTCAGTTGTATTATAAAAGAATTATTGCAGTAATTCGCGCAATAATGTCGAATATGATTTGATGGCCTCTCATTATTCATACGAAATTCACTTTTACAATAAACTTTTCATCAATGTGTTTTATAGGACATCAAACTGATTGATACTGCAGTTTTACTTTCTGTGTATATTGTTATTAGAATGAGTGAAAAATGTTTACTAATTATTTTGATTTTGATTACTTTGATCGATAACAAATTTTGATTAATAAAAAACAACTGAAATTTAATAGTGTCGACATAATTATTAGTTTAATGCTAGGGAAGATAAAGTATTTAATAAGTGCAGTACCACAATTTCAATAGTAAAAGCTTATTTAATTGTTTCCAAACAACTTTATTAGCATATGTTTGATTTTCTAATGATAAATTACAAAGCCATTAGTAGGGGTAGATAAAACTGTAATCAATAAACATATATACACTTACACATGTCTATATATATAAATATATATATGTATATAGTATATATGTAAGGAATTTCCTTTCAAAGCTACATAGAATAAAGGCATTCCATTGTTTGGAAATCAAAAAAAAAAAAATTCCATGCGAGAGAGATGTCATACTCAATATGGATAGAATATGGATAGATCTTAGTATCTCAAAATATCTTATCTGAAAAACTATAAGATAAATAATTAAATTTGTTACCGGATATGTTTGGATACCGGATATTCTTTTTCAAAAAATTTTATTTCTGTTTCAAAATTTTACGTTTTTAGTTTTTGTAGTATTATTATCTCACAAGATATTCTAGCCAAATAATTTTCTGCTCATCACCCACGATTCTCCAAATTGTGAGATATTCATTGCATAAATCTTGTGCGTTTTAATTAGAAACAAAAGCAAAAAGTAATTCCCCAAAGAATTCTACTGCGTCAAAACAGTACAGCGATAAGTAACGTACTAAAATCGAATCCATAAGATATCCGAATTATTGGATATAACATCTCTCTCATATGAAATCTTTTTGTTTCTCTTGATGCAAGGAGCCTCGTCTTCTTATATAATACTTTGAATCTATATACCCTTCACATATGTACACATGTGTAATAATACTGACACGACTGTTAATTAAATTCAAACTAAACAAAATATAATTATTTCGAAACTACCAGCATAATCACTTTTAAACTCTACATGTCATTTAGATATCAGAATAACTTCTGTATAACTGACTTCTCTTTGAATATATGAACTATTAAATTGTGTATTTATGCTAATTATACTTTATTTGGGTGTTCATTCGCAGTAACACTCCATAATGTGAAATAAAAAGATATGAATATTGGTTTGGTGAAAATAAGATATTAATTTAAACTTTACATATACTCCTAATAAAACTAACATTTTTATTAAGTTTAAGCTTTTATAGAAAGTATGATCATATATTTACACACTTATTTTTATAATAAAAAGTAAAAATTTAATGTATATTTTAAGTTACACATATAATTAAATATAAAAAGTACATTCTTTTAAAAATGTATGCCCTTTTACCTTACAAACTTAAAACTTAAATTACCAGGAAAAGACTATTCAGTAGTTGTAACGGTATGATAATATTGCTTCAATAAAACGTTTTATCAATTTCAAAGAAAAAATAGCCTTTCTGTGTATAATAAATTTTAATTGCAATTAAAATGTGTTAAATTTTCTCTAACAATCTACCCCTTATCTTTCTATATTCCCTTAAATAATTATAATGATCATTTTTAAATTTTCACACGTGCATAATATTTACATATCAAAGGAATAATTAAATATATATGTAATGAAGTCGTTAAATTATGGTGTCCAACTGTCTAGCTTGATGTAAGATCTTTTTCTGATGTCCAACTAATGTGATACCCATATCAGATAACTGCTGAGCCGTTAATCTAGAGATCTAAAATTAAAAACATAATTACATTAATTAAAATTATTTTAAAACTTATGTTATATATAATATATATCCATTATCATTTCATTATGTTTTTCATAACATATATATATTCCAGAAGATGTCATATTTTTTTATATATTAAGTTAATATGGACCAAAATTTTATATACGATTTAGTTGTTTATGTGAAACTTTTGTTTAGGTAATGCTGTCCAGTAATGAATTCAGATTGAATAAAATTGCCGAATATATTTACTGATGTATTTTTATTTGCTGTTTTAATATTTCGCTAGCGGAAACATCAAAATTAACCGATTTTTTTGAAAAAAAATTATTTTTATTTTAACAATAAGGTTAGCTTCTTTTACTTTAGGGATGTTGATGGAATTATCATAGATATTTTCAAGGTATTTAGTAAAAGATATGACTTTATCAAAATTACAGTAGTTTGTTTGCTTTTGTATAGATTTAATATATTTTATCGGTTTGTGCTATCCTATACAGTTGTTTTCCCATCTAAGTTTCTTATCACATTAATTTTGAGTGTGGCCAACTGTTTCGCACTTTTTACATTGTGCTTTTATTTCATTTATTCCATTTTAATATTTTTCGGATTTTGTAATTTTTTTTAATAACTTCGAATGAATCAAGGATTATTAAAATCATAATTAATAGTGTTTTCGTTTTCAACTTAGATCTGTTGTGAATGCTCATTGCTTTAAACATTATTTCTGGAGATATAATATTGTTAATATTGATATATATATTGTACTTATTATATAATATTTATATATTCCATTTTTTTTTTGCCACCTCTTGCACAAGTGGATTTCATATCGGATTTCTTTGTGAAAGTATTCTTTTAATTGAGGGCAGTTATTAAATAATTATTTAGTTTTGACTCTTTATTTAGTTTTATCTCTTAGATTTTTTTTAGGAAAGGCAAATAACTATAATTAGGCGGTTAATTGTGAAATTGCGTCAATTTTTATTTACAATTTGAATAATTGAATTTTTTTTTATACGGTTATGACGAAAAAAAAAGTCCAAACACAGGCTTTATAATTATACGAAATCGTACTTACCTGTTGCGCTGTCACCAAATTAGCCTCTTTGAAATGTTGCGAATAACGTGACATTTTTATGTTTTCTAACCATAAATCAGTACTAATAAAAATATTATGACCACGCTGTCCATCCATGATATGTGTACCATCGGTCTCTGGTGAATTTCTTGTAGTAAGTAAAGTTTGAGGCTGTCTTGCTAAATTATCAAGTGTTGAGACTATACTTGAAAACGTTGGTCTGTGAGTACGTTGTTTTTGCCAACAATCTAACATTAATTGATATAAAGCTTCAGGACAGTCCATTGGAGCTGGCAGTCTGTAACCTTTTTCAATACTCTTTATTACATCCTGAAAACACAAATTAAATGTATATGTATTATATGTAAAATCTCTTGCTTATACATATTAAATTCATAAATACCTGATTAGACCAATTCCAATAGGGTCGTTCACCATATGACATTACTTCCCACAAAACTACACCATAAGACCAAACATCTGAAGCAGAAGTAAACTTTCTAAAGGCTATAGCTTCGGGAGCAGTCCAACGTACTGGAATTTTGCCACCCTATAATTTTTTAAAATATTGATATTATTTTATTTTATTAAAATTGCAATCATAATTAAGAAAAAATTTTAATTCACCCTTGTAGTATAAGCATCGCTAGCGTTTTCAATCTCACGCGAGAGTCCAAAATCTGCAATCTTGCATATTAATTGAGCATTAACTAGTACATTTCGTGCAGCCAAATCACGGTGTACATAATTCATATCACTTAAGTACGACATTCCACTTGCTATACCTCGCAGCATAACAATTAACTGAAGAGTTTGAAATTTTCCATCATTAACACGTAAAAATGTGTCCAGACTTCCATTTTCCATATATTCTGTTATAATCATAACTGGATTTGACCGTGTAACTACACCCTGTAAATATATAACGTTAGGGTGATCAAATTGTCCCATTATGGAGGCCTCTGTTAAAAAGTCACATCGCGCCTTTTCAGAAGATCCTAACGAAAAGATATTATTAAATTCATATTATTCCATATTCACCTCAACTAAGTTACCTGGTTTTAAGGTTTTAATGGCGACATCAATGTCTTGTACAAAGTTCGGCGGTATTTTTAAACGACCTCGGCATACATCTCCAAATTCTCCCCCACCTGATATATTAATTAAAACATTACGAAATAAATAAATATATTTTTTACTTATTACCTATTATAGCTTCGATAGTGATATAATTTGCATCAATTTCTCTTGCAAATTCTCGAATTGCCTGGTTCGGATCTTCATAAGTATGAGGGTCAACATAACTACGACTGTTGCCAAACAATGGAGTAGTCACTGTAAATTTAATATAATTTGTTTAAGCAATTAATGCACTTTTGATAAAGATAAATTCAAAATTATAAAACACACAAAAGATATTCGAACTGCATTTTTATTTTTTGAAATAAATATAATTAAATTAATTTATTTTATAAAATAACAACCAAATAACAGCAAACTTTTTAAATAGAGTTTAAAGATATACTATAGCTTGATCAATGAATCGAATATTTATTTAATTAGTTTATTAATTTAATTTTATAAACAAAATATTTTAAAATGTAAAATGTATTAATTTAACCCCATAACCATTACACTTTTCTTTTAAAGCAAGTAATCATTTAAAATTTGATTAAAACTTAAGGATTAAATATCAATTAAAATCATAATGAATATTAAAATAACTTTTTACCATTCCCAAATACCTCAAACTATTTAAAAGGCATGTCAACACTGAATAATAATAATAATAATAACAATAATAATAATAATAATAATAATAATAATACTAATAATAATAATAATAATAATAATAATAATAATAATAATAATAATAATAATAATAATTATAATAACAATAATAATTATAATAAAATAATAATAATATTAAAATTGATAAAAAAATATTATTAAAAACAGTTATGGCACCTCATGCATCATGCAAAAAAAACACCCATATATATTCGGTTTTGAAGTAATGTACAAGTTAATTGTAGATTAATTAGACTTTATAAATTAGCGAATTATTATGTTAATAACTTTACAGTCGAGAACAAAATAAAATTCTTCCATTATTAAAAAGAAAAAGAATTTACCGTTTGATTGAATCGTTTTAACTATTGGTGTAGTATCCACAGCATGAACTAAAAAATTAAATCATTAAAATATAATGTTAAAAAAAAAACAAAATAAAAAAAACAAAAATATATAACGAATACTTATTATATAAAAAAAATTATATTCGTTTTCAAATTGACTTCAGTATACTAAAACATAAAATAGGAAAAAAATATATAGTATTGCTTATACGGAAACCACAACTTTTAACTTCTTTTCGAATTATTTTTCTATATTCATACACATATAAACATATAATCAAAATCTATATTCATGCTATTAAGTTGTAAATATATAAAAACCTTTGGTAAACAAAAACTCATTTATACATTTTAATACAGTGAAACCCCTATTTGGCGAAGACTCAGTTAAGACAACTTACAACCGATCGACACCGAATGCGGTGTTTAGTCAAAAGAGATTTAATTGTTTCAACAAATGATTAAAATATGGTTTGGAGTAATTATCCGGCCTAGACGAGTTTTCGTTTAGCAGGAGTTTCACTATATTTAAATTAAATTGCATTGCTAAAATTTATTGCTTTGAAAAACTAATTTCGCAAAATAAAATTAAAAAATATTACATATATATATTAAATATTAAAATATATTAAAAAAATGTAAACGTCAGGGCCAGTTTTATCTAAGATATGTACTACTTAAGTACGTATGTCATAAGTTATATTTGAGTTTTATTCAGTATTTCAGTGTTTGATGGTTTATATATTGTTTAAAGGTAAGTGAAGAAAAATATAGCAATAATTTGAACTGGTATTAAAGTGAACACTTCCATTCGAACTGCCAATATAAAACAATAAAAACTTAAAAGGAAAAATACATTTAATACAAAATACAAACTAAACAGCTGCACCTTAAAATAATCTGACTAATATGCACCATTAGAATCCACTGCTGACTTGCGGCAAAAAATGCCTCTTCACGCTAGTAACAGCGTAAATTAAAGTGTGAAACGATGCCAGCTTGTTTTTGGGTAATGACTAGTATAATGTATGAAATATATTTTAAAAAGAAATATATGCTCAAAACATATATTTAAGCACCTGAAACAATATTTATTTAATCTTCTATTTTTATATTTCATTATTAATTTTTTTACTATTGTAAATTGTGAATGTGTTCATAAATTTTATAAATACAAATTTATTTGGTCATTTTATTAATTTTTATATAATTTAGTAAGCTTAATAATATAATTTAGTATTCATAAAAAGTAGAAATCGCGGCAAATTGTATTAAGTGCACATTTCTCAATTAAACGCAATGTGTTTTCCACCGCTTTCGCGTTTGCGTCTAGATTGCCTAGATTTCTAGATTATCACGATTATAATCTAGATTTGATAATCTAGATTTGATTATCACGGCTGCAAAAAGAATGCAGTTTGTAAGCTAGCTAATGAGCACTGCTCAATATGTTCTAAAGTATCTTAGCGTATACACGCGTTATTTTGCTAAAAGTGTGCAGCAATAAAAAAATATAATAAATTATAATAAATAAATAAAAATTAATAATAAATAAATAAATGAATAATAATAAATAAAATAATAAATACAAAATTAAATTTTTCATGAACTTTTAATTAATCAATATAGCTTATTTTCGTTTTATACCAACTGATCTTTTAGTGACAATGTAACACACTTTAGTTTAAAATAAAACTCAAGTAATACTACAAATATGACTTCGAAGACTTGAACTTAGACATGTAAGTCTATATTGTAAAACTGGCCCTTAAATACATATTATATTTATATTCATAGAAGGCTGCATAAAAACATTTGAAAATGCAATCAAAACTTTTAAATATTTTCCTAAAATAATAATATAGATTTCAAACTAAACAATTTAATTAAGATATTCTATCACAAACGAGTCATCACACAAATAGTTTATCCAATATTGACATTCACTGTAATCATTGCTATAACAGACTAAGTCAAACCTCATTAACGAAATTTAGGAAACTAGTTTTTTTCAAAATAAGTAGAGATGTGGCTTTTTTTTAGAGTTACTTGGTTATATGTACAAATTGAACGGTTTCTCTAACTGCCCACCCTGTATAAGTACTCATATCGATTTTATGTATCACGTTTTTTATTTTCAATAAATGACGGATATGATTCTTTGGTAAACAAAAATAAATAAAATAAATATCGTGAGAGGCTCCCTGTTAATATAAACCTATATCGACGGCGTAAAAAAAACTAGATTACCGAAACTAACTTCCTTCGAAAAACAATCAATTTTTTAGACAGTTTTTAGGTCTTTGGTCTAGTTTTTTTTTATCCATTAAATGTTTTTGTACTGAAATAGGTTTAAATATTGTAACAAAGCGGATTTATTTAAAAATTAAAATTTTTGTAGTTATAGTTTTTCTCACTACATTCACATATGTTATGTACATATTTATTACCTTATGTTGAAAAAGTTATTGTTTTTTAGAATATTTGCAAAATTATTTTTGATTGTTCTTCTATTTTCTATTGGGTTCCGGTCTTACGAAAACGTTCTATAAAATAAATTTCTATTTAATTTGTCCTGTTTTCTAGTAATCGGCCTTTGATCTGCCCACTGTTAAGATGTTTAAGAACGAGTATTACAATTTCATTACCAATTTCATGATTCTTTAATTATTAAGATCTACTGAATTAACATAATATTATTGTTATGATTGAGCATTCAAATGGATATGCGCAACAGTATTCATTAATTATTCATTTTATTACAAGTTTTAACGCCACTACTACATTCTTTTGAATATGCTGCACTGAATAATATTTATATTAATTATACAAAATTAAGGCATAATAGTAATTTAAAATCATAAACGCTCCGAAAACTATAAGAAATAATCGCAACACTTACTATATGTAACAACGAGTCCTTGCATTTTGTTGGATAGGTAATAAAATAATATAAAATGTTTTCATTAAAATCATAATGTTTACACTTTTAAATGATTTGTTGTAAATTATTTTGCATTCGAGGACATTAAATTATACACAATAATGATGTATTTCTCATTGATGTTAACATTTTTGTAATGTATCATAAAAATTTAAATATAATAAAATATTGAATGCGAAATGATTACTAAATGTTATTACTTAATGTTCTTAATTGATGTAAATTATTAGATCGTTTTGTCTTCTACAGATTATGAATGAAACATGAACAATGAGCTTTATTTAAAATTCTGTACGTATAATTACCTTCATTACTTGCGTAATCCAATGGCAATGGCAGATGGTTACTTGATTTTTTGTCTAAATCATCTTGATGTTTAGATCGCAAAAATAAAACAGTTGCTACAATAACAAGAACTAATATAAAAACAACTGCAACTGTAGCCCCGGCAATAATACGCATTTGTATTGAATCGTCATATACTATAATGGATGTAATGAAAATATGTTATTTGTTTCATTTGTAACAGCATAAATATATTCAATGTATCACCTGAACTAACAGCTTGATGAGTATGTGCATAAACAATATTGCTATAAGTACCAAAGCCGTTTAAAGTTTTACACCGTACTTGAAAGCCATATTCTGTATTTTCATTAAGTCCTTCAATGTGTGCTTTCGTTTCTCTTGTATTTAAGGCAGTTTTATTGATTGCATCTAGTTCGGATTTTGGAAACCAACGTACTTCATAAAATTCAATTGGTGCGTCACTCTGCACAGGTTTATCCCAAACTAAATCCACTTCATTACTGGTTGTACTCAAAACACGTACATTAAAAACAGTGGACAAAATTGCTGATTCCGTTGTAAAACTTATTTCAGCATACTCAGTTTTTATATTATCAAAGTCTATTGATTGTTGACTACGTTTCGGAGTTATAGGCTTAGTATCTGAAATTCCTAAAGTTTCAACAGCAGTGTTTCCAACAATAGTATCGTTTAGATATATTTCTGATTCTATATAAGAAAGTCCATTTATAGTATGAATTTGTACTACGTAAGTTGTAACAGCTTCCAAATTAGTCAAAGTTAACTTAGTATCATTAAAAGTATCAGTACTGGGATTAAATACTACATTCGGTGAACAAGAACTACAACGCGCTTTATATATAATATCACTACGATATTTTGTATTTTTTATATTGAATACTGATTCTGCACTGTCTCGAACAGGCGAGTTCCAAGAAAGTATTGCACTTGTTTGATCAACGAACAGCAGTGTGAGATTAGTTGGAGGTCCAGGAGCTTTATAACAAGGCATATGTTTACCATCTCGAGGATGTCGATAAAATCCTGGCAAACATTTACAAAATGCTGCTCCTGATTTTAAGGCATTTGAATTTGGCGGACATTGAATGCAATTAGCAATTTCATCTGAACGAAACGTTCCAGCAGCACATTCTGAAATAAATATTTTTTTAATGTTTAATATTGTTAAATTAAATATATGAAGAAGCATTAAAGTAAAATCAACTAAATATAAAATTTAGTTTTGCTAAAAATGTATCTATTATTAAATAGATAATTGTTATAAAAATTATAAATTAATTCTTTCATTTGCAGAAATAATATTAAAGTGATAACAATTTCCTTACCATTACACGTTTTATTTATATTGTCAGGCTCGAATCCTACTTTGCAACGACATCCACCATTTAGAATTGTCCATTTGCCGTCTCCCTTACATAAGTAAGTGGGCGGTTCATAGGGTTCAGCATTTTCAACGCAAGTACCATTCTGCTTTTCAATTATTGTGATCTCCCGGCCTGTTGGAGTTTCATTGAAATGTGCAAAATTTTCGGTTACTGCAGGGCAAGTTATATAATAAACTTTTACAGCTAATACGCTTATACACGCTCCTTGATCACGAAAAGCGAAGTAGACTCCTTTTTTTGTGACAGCTATACTTTTTACTTCAGTATTAATATCAACATCTGAGTTTTGATTAAAACGTCCTTCTCCAGCAGCTATTCGAGCTAAATTAATTATACAAAAATAAAATACATTCCTGTTTTTTATAAATTAATCATAAACGTACCAATTAGTTTATAACTATCAGTTTGCCATGGCGGTGGTTCTCGTGTTGCTGCATCAAATTCATAATATAATAAGCTAAACGTTTCCTTGCATGACAAAGCATTTCCTAAATAACAAAAAAAAATTTAAGTGCATAAAGTAATATATTTTTGAGGTTTGGCTTACCTGGAAATAAAGAACAATCTCGAATTGTAAACTGTATTTCTATATACAGTCGATTGGCTGGACCACGATCAATAAAAGGCGACCACAACCAGTTGTTAACATTGTGGTAGGCAACATCACACACTACATAACTTCTCCAGTTTATACCTTTCACAAAATCGGTAAATGACTCCTCAACCCACTGTTTAACATGAAAACAAATAAAATATGCTTACTGTATATTCTTAAAATATGCTTATTATGATTTATTATTCATTCCAAAAACAAATTAACTTTTAAAAGATATTTATTTTTTTTTTGTGTTAATATAGGAATCAAGGAAATTGTTCTAATAAACTGATTTACATTATACATTTCAAAAGAAATTTAAAGGGCTTTTCGGCATCCAATCTCTTTATTGTTTAGTAAAAAAAACAAGAACAGAATTAGGTAGCCAATTAAAGGAAGCTTGCAATATGTTTGATTACTGCTTAAAGTATTAAATGTGAATGTTCTATTATGTTCTTATGAATAGGAATAGGAATCAACGTGGTACTAGCTCCCAACGGAGCGGAGCACTGTGACCAGATTGATCTTTTGTGCTGCAACAGACCCTAACCGAACAGAACACATTCCGTCTTCCGAATGAAGGCTAGAATGTCGGCCGTTGAGGACCTCCTAATGTCAGAAGTTTTATTTCATTTATTAATTCATTTCATTATGAAATAATCCTTAAACACTTTTCAGTAGACTTTATTGATATAGGTAAAGTGAAATGCAAGTTATTGTTTCGTTTTACTAAAAATGCCTGCAAAAGTACAAGAAACATCGAACGATTAAATAAATATAAATACTTCAAACTTAAGTACGCTTGGGAATTCAAATTATATCATAAATTAAATATCATAAATGAATATGATCAATAAAGCTCATAACTAATATATAGTTGCTTTATTTTATGTAAATCAAAGCTCATATTTTTGCTGACTAGAACATTGACAAATTTGCTTTGAATAAGTTAAATGATATGAATGGAATATAAAATTTAAAGGTTAATTAACTGATAGAGTAGGGTGACGCTTAAACCCGATTTCAGAGAGGAAATATTACTATATATGTAGGTATGCCACAAAAAGATTATATAAGATTTTAACGATCAAACTGCCGCTAATGTAGATAGATCGATAGGATGTAAAATATAATTAAATGCATTTAAATAATATATAATTAGATGTAATGAATTGCTTGTAAATATAATATTGTCCAACTTAGGACAAGATAAAATAAAATAAACATTTTATATAACTTAAACAATTTAGATAAATCAGAATTAATTTGTTAATAATTTGTATTTAATTTACGTACTCCTGGGGTTTGAGCCTGAGGTCCATAAGGATATCGTGTCCATTCTAGTGTCGCTTCTCTTGTTGTATCCAGTAATATTACTGAAAATAATTAATTTAACATTATAATATTATATTTTTTTAAAAACACAAAATGTAGATAAACAAAGTTAAATCTTTTTGAGGCATATAATAAATTCAAATAAATTTTCTATAAAAGATAGTAATAACCAATTTTTTTACCAATAATCCATTTTTTTCCTACTTACAAAGCAAATAATTGCTGCAGTTCAGCAAATAATGATCAGTATTTTACAGATGATCAGAACGGTACAGATCATATTTGGAAGTAATTGATAATTCATCATGTTTTTCTAATATTTATTTGTTCGCAAAATGTGCTCACGATCTTACATTCCTATTGATCACTTATTTTATATTCATAATGCACCGCATCCTGAATATCTTACACGCTGCAATTATTTTGATATAACCTCTTTAACATATGAAATCTCATGTAAAGGATGTATTGTATTAAATTCTTCAAATTATATAAATTGTATTTATTGGATAAAAAGCCGTGTTCTTTAGTCACTGGAACCTAAATTGAATGGATAATGCATTGCGTGGATGAAACAGAAAAATTTTTTTAGAAAGAAAAAACGATTTATACAATTATGTTACACACACTATGCTCCAGTTATTGTGCAATTTCTCTAGAGATATACATCATATCCTCGCCATCGTAAAAAAACTGTAGCCATAACCATTCTGATTAGAACGCAAGCACTGCTTTTTAGAAGCTTTTTTATTTTGTTCAATAAACTGTTTCATCGAATATCATTTCATGCACTTTTTGAGTTTATTTATTTCTTTATTAGCTCAACTACTAGTAAAGAGCATGTTTGAAGTTCGTCACCCACATTTTTTTATGATGGTGCAGTTCCCGTATACATCGTATATTTTCGATTTTCTTTATAACGACATATTACAGGGTTGCTAACGAAAATTGAAACAAACTTCGCACCGATCTAGTTGTCAAACCAATAATGACCAAATCTATCTGGAAATTATTTTAAACGGAGTACTAAAACCCTGGGCACTTGAGCATTTCGGTCATAGGTGTTGGACATTCCAACAGGACTCCGCATCATTGCACAAAGCACGCATTAACCAAGAATAGCTGAAAAACAACGTTTCGGCTTTATTCTATTAACACAGCGGCCACCGTGTTTACATGATATAAGCCCTTTAGATTCCTCAGTCTGGGGTAATTTAAAAAGTAAGTTTAACACTAAATAATACTAAAATTTCGATCGTCTTAAGCAAGCGCTAAACCGAGAATGGGCCAAAATACCGTAAAGCCACTTGCGGGCAGCGTGCGATTGCTTCACTGGCCGTTTGAAGGCCATAATTCATGCTAGAATTGACCATATTGAATCAAAATAAAGTAACTTAAAAATCTAAAGTTCATTTTGCATATGTTGATTTATCTTTCATTAAATTTAACAAAAATAAACAAAACAGAGCCAGCAACCCTGTATATTTCAACTACGAAAACTCAATCGCAGCTGATAAAACATTAAACGTACTTGTGCTAGTAAAACTAAATACTTTTTCATTATTAATAAAGTCGAAAAGATATTTTTTCCGTGAAGCCTTCACTTTATGTTCGTACTTAGAACATAATCTATAATCACACTTAATTATTTTTCAACATTCATATTATATGACATAGACATATTTAATTAATTTTATTTTTATACAAGTATATTACCTTGATCTGCCGATCCAAAACCAATATGCAACGTGAAGACCAACCAAAACCAAGCGAACAAAAGACTGTGTAGTCTTAGTTGAATTTTACAAGTTATTCCTGTACAAAATGGCAACATTTGCGTGGTGAACAAAACTATTTTTTCCAAATGCGTTTTGTAATATTGATTTCCCAACAAAGTCATTAATGTTAACAGGCTTCCGGTAATCTGTTTAAGAGATTTTCTTACTATTAAATCATGAACAGAATTAAAAATAAGTGAGAGCATGAAGTTTTTCGTTGTATTCGATTGCGTTGAATATGAAAATGAATTGGATAATCTTATTGGTAATGACGACGTAAAATATTTTATGCTAAATGTATTGGAAGTTCGATGTGGTGGTGAAGTACTGATTATTAGCGTTCCGGTTTTTGCAATAGATTTTAACTCACTGTCATTCTCTTCTTTATATTTTTGATTATATTCACACAACTTTTTTCTTAATTTAAAATTTCTGCGACAAATTTGATCATTTAAGCAATTTTTAAAGACAAATTGATCGACGTTATTTTTCCAACTAAAATGCTGCTTCATTATTTGTTCATGCATATTAACTTTATATCTACAGTAGAGTGTTTTTATTTATAAATAAACAGATTTGTAAAAATGTGCACCCCATCCTCAATTTCTTGAATGAAAATCCTGAAATTTAAAAATATATATTATCGAAATATTATTTCAAAAATAAAAAATATAAATTAAATAGTTATATTTAACAAAATAATATTACCAAATACCATACATTTTAGTACACTAACATTAAATGGCGGCACTATCTTAGAGGCTAGAATAAGGCCACCATTGTATCGTTTGTGTAGCCAATTGATTCTAATTCAAATTTCGCAATTGACAGGGCTTCGGACATATGCAATTATGTCCGATTTGATAATCGAAAATAATTTCAATTATTTTCTACCGATTCGCTTGAAATTTGAAATACAAATAAATTAATTATTTATAAAATATAATCGTTTTATTTGTTTTATTAAATGTTTTATTTTGCATAATTTTTCAGTGATTTCTGGTATAAAGAATGTGGTGTGGCGTATACTAGCCAGTAAGAAAAATTTTATAGAAAAAATCGGCTGATTTTTTGTAGATTTTCATTTAGAAAATATCACTATTTTTTAAATTTGAGCATTTTTTTATACATTAAATCTTAAGAAACATATAACAAAATAGAATAAAATAGTGATTTAAGTTCCAAGTTGGTCCAATTTTTGCGGAACCTCAATTTCGTGTAAATTTTATAAAATTGCAAATAACTTACGAACTGAAGGGTCTGATCCTCCCATTTTTTGCTTGAAGTTGTGTTTTTATAAATGAGAGGTAAAGAAAACTTTGTATGAGAGATGGGTGGTATTGCAGTAAGTAGAATATCAATAAAGTTTCTGAACCTTACTACAAAAACTTTGTGTCCCAAATTTAATTTTTCTAGGTATTATATTTTTTGAGATATGTAAAGAAAGATATTCAAAATTTGATCATGTTTTTTGGTCATACTTAGAGAGGTTGCAGTAACCGACTGAAATACATTTAAAAGAAAGCTTATCTCAAAAATTATATTTAAGGAAAGTTTAAATTTTAGCAGTCTAATTTTAATTTTGAAACTGAAATTAAAATTATACATTGAAAGAAAAATATACAGTAAAAATGGCACTCGACAGAGTTTGCCTAAATATCAAGAAAAAAAAGTAGCAAAAAAGAGAATACGAAAAAGGAAAGATTTGCTGAGAAAACAACTAGAAAACATTGAACAAGATTTTCAAAAAATCAAACAAGATCAATGTACCGCAGAATACGAAAACATACGCGCACTTCACAGCTTGTAAAAATAAAAGTGGTTAATTGATCAGTGATAGAAAAGAAGTTTTAAATATTTGGCAAAACCATTTCAGCGATCTGCTGAATAGCAATTAGGTAGAAATAGACAGTAGAAAATATGCTAGAGGAACCCATACTTGAGGACACAAAACGAGCAATAGAGAAGTTAAGAAGCTTTCAATCGTGTGGAGGAGATTCTATAAACGCTGAACTGATCAAATATGCCGGAGAAGAGCTTCACAAGCAGATACATCAAATCTGGAGAACAAAAAAAATTCCACAAGAATGGTATACAAGCTAAATAGTTCCTAAAAAAGACGACAAAACGAGCTATGCTAACTACAGAGGTATATCTCTTCTTAATGTTTGCTATAAAATATTTTGAAAAACTAAACATGTACGCAGAAGAAATACTGGGAGATTATCAATGTGGTTTTAGAACCGGTCGCTCAACAAAAGACAAATGCTTCGTTATGTCACAGATTTTCGAGAAGTGTTATGAGTTCAACATTAACACACATTAGCTGCGTTTCAGCAAACCTGATCCGCTCAATGATCTGAATCATCTTTGCTGAAACGATACGGATCACTTATTAGGAATATTAGGAATTCTCCTGATGAAGGCAAAAGCGAATTTGCCGAAACACGTGTAGAGATACACAAAAAAACTTTCGAAATAAAAGTTAGTATATTTTTAAAAAACAAAAAATAACCGCATTTATACGGATCACGTTTGAAAATAATTGGCAACGCATGAAATATGACAGTTGGGTTTGTGTACAAAATTTTTTGATTTATGTGAATAATTTTGGCGCTAAAAAAATAAGTGAGAAAATCTAAAACTTGGAAAATAAATAAAATCTGTTGATATGTCTGAAGTATGAAATGTAAGTTTTTATTTAGTATTTACTTAAAAACTTAAATTTAATTCTATAGTAAATAAATGGAAATTGCAGATTTTATTAGAACTATCGAGCAAAACTGATTTCTCCATTTTCTTTTTAAACAGTAGTCCAAGTGTATTAAGCTCAAGGGATGAAGTGCATCAGCATGGATATAGTGGAAATTTTATGGAAACGACCAATAATTGTTCCGTTAAAGATTATTTGATTGGTATTTGCGCATAAAAAATACAATTGCTATATATTAATTATGATTCATATTTTAATAGATTTGTTAATAAAATCCAATTAGCAAATACAAAATAACCGTGGAGGTCACAATTGAACTAGAGAAATGAAGGAAATTTACATATTTTTGTGGTATATGGCAAATATGAATACTTTTTGCGAATTTGGTATTTGTTTTGGCATACCAAGTGCTTCTGTATGGAGAATAATTAAAAGAACTAGTGTTTAGCGTATATCAATTGGACACTAATTTATAAAATACACACTTGCTAATAATGCAAAAGTGGAAACTTCAAAAAAATTCCCGTTCGTAATTGGTTGCAAAGACAGTACACATGTAAAAATAAATGCACCACACCATAGCAAATAGGCTTATTTCAAAAGGAAGCATGACTATGGCTTAATCTTGCAGGCAGTTTGTGATGAAAATGGTTTTTTTATAAACGTGTATGTTGGAGAACCTGGTTCCTTATGTATTGTTCTGTTTTAATTAAATAAGTGTATTCAACTTAATTTATATATATTTATTTCAAATTAATTGATTTTAATGAATTATCAAACAACACTTTTTCAATAATAATAAAACGTAAATAAATAAAGTAATAATTTTAATTACAGTAATAATTAAAACATTACTTTAAACAAAGAAATAAATAATAATAACATATTAAATAAATTAGTACATAAAATAAATAATAAATAAATAAAATCAATAATAAATAAATATAAATGTAGATTTGTTTATAATTTTACTGTACCGTTGCATCGCATTGCCAACCTCATTTGCATTAAAATGCGTTCCACTTTTATCTTTTACATACATTCCACATTGAACCAGAAAGTGAACCAGATCAATTGCTAGTTCACCCCATTGTTTTTGTTTTGCATGTAAAATTGAGCGGATCATGTTTGCTGAAACGCAGCTATTGTTTATTTATAGATTTTAAACAAGCCTTCGATAAGCCCAACAGAAAATACATTGATTACTATCTAAAAAAACTTGGTATACCGCAAAAATACATTAACTTAATTAATATGACTCTAATGCATGCAAACGCTAAAATAATCCTGAATAGTGAACTTTCAGACAAATTTAAAACAAAATCCGGCGTACGTCAGTCAAGGTGATTCTCTGTCGACACTTCTGTTCGATTTGACTCTACGTGCAGCTATCAACGAAATACATCAAGGTGGTACAATATTTTATAAATCTACACAAATATGCACCTATGCTGACGATATCGTCATTATTGCAAGAAACAAGGTAATTCTTCAAAGCATTTTCATGCAACTAGAGCAAGCTACAAAGCAAACAGACCTCAGAATAAACGAAGAAAAAACTAAATACATGACAAGATTTCCCTAAGATAACCACATCAGAATAGGCAATTAGTTTAAATATCTGGGCGTAGTTCTCACCACAAGTAAAGATGCGACTCTTGCAATATAAGATCGTATTCAAACAACTCACAGAGCATATTTTGCTCATATCAATTTTATGAAATCAACATTACTATCAAAGGAACAAAAGTTGCGCATGTATAAAACTGTCATTAGACCGGTTCTTACCTACGGTTGCGAAACATGTGTCCTTAAATCCAGCGAAAACAACCTGCTACTAAATATTTGGCTCGGTGTGTTTGGAAGACGGCACATATCGTATACGGTATAACGACGAATTGAATGTCTTGAACGAAGGCCGAACTATAATACGATACATAAAAGCCCTAAGATTATGCTGGTATGGAGACGTCCTACGAATGAGTAACGAAAAAATGACTAAGAAAATTTTCGAGACAAAGACAGAGGGGAGTAGAAAAAGAGGACGACCGCGACGAAGATGTAGAAGACAACATACGAACGATGAGAATAACACAACACAGAAAGAAAGCGAAATGCAGAAAATAATGGAGGCGTATTGTAGAGGAGGCAATGGTCCATCCAGGACTGTGATACCAAAATGATGATAAATTTTAATTTTGCCCCAGAATACGCAGTCAAATTTTTAATAATTAATTAAATATTTGTTGTGATCTGTTAAAAAACTAATTATATCAATTAGTTTATATGGGAGCTATTCGAACAAAGTAACAATATATTCTGCCACAACTAAAGTAACTAAAATTCCAAATTTTGAAAATAGTTCATTAAAATTTCATGAAACTTCGACAAGATTTTAAAAGTTCAATAAATATTGATGTTAGTTATATTAAAAATATTTACAGTTGAAGCTTAAGTAACATAGGGCGGGAGTGAGCATACAGGGTAAAGTATCTGATTGCCTTTACTTGGTAAATGAATCAAATACATTGCATAAAACCAGCACGATCTTGTTACTTTCTCCTCAAATTTGACTCCGCGTTGTCCCCTATGGATAGATACAATCATTTGTGCATAGTAAACTAATATGTGATGTGAATTTTTCCTCTTGGATACACAAGGATACGCGACGGATTTGGAACCCACCATATAAAGCATAACTTCGATAAAAATGAAAACGAAGCCTCAGATAAGGACACCACATACTGACGACACTGGCAAATGGTTTCTAAAACATGATTTAAGAGTATGTATGGTATGACTGAACTATTTACGGAGAAGTGAATTCCTATATCTAATTAATGTGTCTAGAAATTCAAAACTGCCATTACTGCTCTCCAGGAAAAGACGGAACAAGTATACTCTAAA